CAATATAATAAAATCTCTAGAAACCAAACAGGAAACAGAATTAAAATACAGGTAGTCCTCGACTTTCAACAGTTCGTTTAGTGACCGCTCAAAGTTACAACAGCACTGAAAAATGTGACTTATGACCATTTTTCATACTTACGACCTTTGCAGCAACCCCATGATTATGTCATTAAAATTCAGATGCTTGGCAACTGGTTCAATATTTATGACCGTTGCTGTGTCCCAAGCTCATGTGATCACCTTTTGTGAGCTTCTAACAAGCAAAATCAATGGGGAAGCCAGATTCACTTAACAACTAGTTTACTAATTTATCAACTGCAGTGATTCACTTAACAACTGTGGCAAGAAAAGTTGTAAAATGGGGCAAAACTCACTTAACAAATGTCTCACTTAACACCAAATGTTGGGCTCAATTGTGGTCGTAAGTTGAGGACTACCTATAAACATATTGCATCTTACAATAAGCTCATAGCACATATTGTTAAGATAAAAACGTGAGTGTTAAACTTAACTCAAAGATTTTATTCTCTTTGTCTTTGTAAAACAAATATGATTGGGATGAAGAAGAGGCAACGTCTCCATTTCAGGGAACTAAATATCATGGCACAGCTTTGAGATTAAATCCAGTGAACTGATCAGTATTGTGCCTTATTTTTCCAAGAAAATCTGATTTTCATATTGTTGTATGCAGTATTATAGTTAATCTTCTTTCATTTAAAATGTTGCCTACCCCAGATCTTCAAGTCAGTTTCATTGTTCTTTGGATTATGAGTATTTTTTTGGGGGGTCCAAAAATATTGTCATCAATCAATCAATTTATTATTATAGCCAAAGGCCAAGATATTGTCATCCTTCTCCTCTGAATGTTATATTCTGTACATAGACACATTCATGGACACACTTCCCATTTTTACATTGCCTCTACTAATATGCTTCAAACTGCAGATAGCTATCATGAGACCGAAGTCGACTTCCCTTTGCTAATTGTTAATTCAGCAGTACAGCAAGAGAGCTTTAACATTATCCGTAGCTTTTATCTTTTTTTGATGACTTAGGATTCCATTTCCAAAAAATTGCCTTGCTGATAGATATGCACTTTTTATAAGTTCATTAATTCTTAGCTTTACCAGTATTTAGTTTTAACATTGTGGAGGTGAATAATTTCAGACCCTTTTAACACCATATCAAACTATTGAATTTATTCATTAATTAATCAAATTTATACGTCTACCCATCTCACAGGAAGTAACTCTGGGTGGTGTACAATATTATTCATTATTATTTTTTGACAAACTGAAATATTTTTTGATAATATTTTATTAATTTTCCAGTTTTACGTTTGAATATTTAAAAAGCAACATGGTGACTGGGTTACAATAGTTCAATAACAAAATCTTAGTGCAAATCTCAGGTTACAACATCAAATATTTCTTCTCTTTTTCCCTTATCATTTATTGTCTCATATTCAGGTTAGTACATTTCTAATTATATCAATTCAATAAGAACATCATTATTACATTTATCAATAAATTTTTAGCTTGTACATATCTTAAATACATTCAATCTTCATAAACAATCCATATCCTGTTATTGATTTTTACTCAGTTTCTAATTTCTTATCAATATTCTAATTTAACCTTTGATATTTATAATTTTCAGACTTTGGGTAACCAAAATTTCCCTTATCTCACTTCATAACAAAGTATAATATGCAAAATACATATTTTACCTATTTGAATATAATCTTATTCTATTTCCTAAGAGTTATCTATTTCCCATCATATTAAATCAT